TGGCAGTGTCTGCTCTCCTGTAAATTATCTCCTCTGGGGTGTGGTGAGGATCTCTTACCATGGCCATGGTGACTCTGTCATCAGACAGTGATTGTGAAGACTCAGTGTGAGTGGGGAACAGAAAAGGCAGATCCTCACCAAAAAAGAATAAACTGCCAAATGAGGGATGGGACAAATTCAGGCCCTTTTCAGGGGTTGGAATTGTGGTGTTATCCCAGCTGAACTTGGCCCAGAATCAATGAGCCTCTGCTGTGCTTCCAGGAAATCTGCATTGAAAAGGCTGCAGGAGAGAAGCTGGGCATCAGCATCCGGGGTGGAGCAAAGGGCCACGCTGGAAATCCGTTTGATCCCACTGATGAAGGAATCTTCATCTCCAAGGTACCAAGCACAAACTCTGCAGGGAGCAGGGTGATCCTGGGGTGATCCTGGGGTGATCCTGGAGAGCAGGGTGATCCTGAGGGTGATCCTGGGGTGATCCTGGGGTGATCCTGGGGTGATCCTGAGGGTGATCCTGAGGTGATCCTGGGGAGCAGGGTGATCCCGGGGTGATCCTGGGGGTGATCCTGAGGTGATCCTGGGATGATCCTGGGGTGATCCTGGGGTGATCCTGGGGGAGCTGCTGGAACATTCTCTCAGCTTTCACTGGTGCATCACTTCTGGACATTCTCCCTCCAGCAAAGGAGCCAAATCCCTGTCCTTCTCCCTCCTCTACAACAGCTACAATTTCTTCCTTTATTTCCTGTTAGCCTTTATTTTGCCTCGAGTTTCCTCTCGTGTTTTTTCTGTGATGTGAGCCCACACATCTTTCCTTTTCCCCACRTTCCTGTTGGTTCCCATGTGCCTCCTGCCCACTCAGATGTACAAACTCTTTCCTCCATCCATGGAAAGCCTCACTCATTCCTCACCTTTTCTCCTGTGCACCCTCTAACTCGGTTCCTTTCTGAAATGACTGTTTGTGTCACACATACTCTCACACCACTTTTCCTCCAGAAATAACACATTTTCTTGTTCAATTTACGCTTATGCTGATCAGTTTATGCTCCTCCCAACCCTTTCCAGAAGGTGTTTATGGTCTCTTCTTCACTGGCAGCAGAACACAGCAATAAATGATGTCCTTTTTGTCTTGTGCTGACCAAGAGGGCTCTGGGTGTTCACCTKGGTGTCACTGGCTCCCTCTTTAGCTGGAATTGAAACTGCTGTGAGTTATCCTGATGGCTGAGGACACTCCATCATTGCCACTCAGCCCTGATCATTGATAATTGGTTGCTTCTAAGGCAGGGGAACACTCAGCATTTGTCATTATGTGGCTGCAACTGAGTTCTAAAGTTAAAAGAATAAATTCCCTCTTTCAGAGTGGCAATTGCACATTCATCTGGGAAATTTGCTACAGCAGGAAAAGAAAACCTGGGATTATTCTAATGAACAATTATTTTTAGTGGTTGGGTCTGGTTTTCTCTCCTGCAGCATTACAGCATTTGTGGGTTGGAAGGCTCACAGTTTAGCCATGGTGCACTCAGTTTACCCCATTTCCCCTCCCTTTTTTCCCCAATACTGGTTGTTTTGGCCTGCAGAGAACCAAAATTCTGAACTTCCCTGTTTTCCCTTGAGCTGTGTTATTCACATCAGCCTCTCCCWCCTGTCCTATCCAGAAGGGTTTTCCTGCCTCTGATTTTCCCTYTGTATTTCTGGTAACTGAGAGACAAAGTGGTGCTTTTACTCTTCTTCCTTTTTGCATGTCTAATCTGTGCCTCCTTGCTCCTCAGTTTGTCTTCATTCCCCCAAATGGGATGGGGGTATCTCCTTCCCACCAAAAAAAGATTTCACTTTCCATGAGAAGCATCATAATGTGAGAGCTTTTTCTTCTTCCCTGCTTCTTTTCTTGGCACAATGCATTTCAAATTCACATTCAAGGTTTTTCCACACCTGTTCCCTCCACCAGCCCGTACAGGTTCTTCCTTTTCTGCCCTCTCTACTGTTATTCCCGATGTTTCCCCTGGCTGGCAGCTGCAGGCTCTTGTCCCATTCTCTGTGGGCTCTGGGTGCTCTGTGTGTGCTGTGTCTGCTCCGTGTTCCTCGTGCTCCTCCTCGGGCTCCTCGTATTCTCCTGTCCCCTGACTGCTCTCCTGTGTCCCCTGACTGCTCTCCTGTGTCCCCTCACTGCTCTCCTGTCCCTGACTGCTCTCCTGTGTCCCTCACTGCTCTCCTGTCCCCTCACTGCTCTCCTGTCCCCTGACTGCTCTCCTGTCCCCCTGACTGCTCTCCTGTCCCCTCACTGCTCTCCTGTCCCCTCACTGCTCTCCTGTCCCTGACTGCTCTCCTGTCCCCCTGACTGCTCCAGTGTCCCCCTGACTGCTCTCCTGTCCCCTGACTGCTCTCCTGTCCCCTGACTGCTCTCCTGTCCCTGACTGCTCTCCTGTCTCTGTCACTGCTCTCCTGTCCCTCACTGCTCTCCTGTCCCCTCACTGCTCTCCTGTCCCTCACTGCTCTCCTGTCCCTGACTGCTCTCCTGTCCCCTCACTGCTCTCCTGTCCCCTCACTGCTCTCCTGTCCCTGACTGCTCTCCTGTGTCCCCTGACTGCTCTCCTGTCCCTCTCACTGTTCTCCTGTCCCTCACTGCTCTCCTGTCCCCTCACTGCTCTCCTGTCCCT